AATAAATAAATAATTGTATAATTTTAAAATATTATATATATACATTAAAATTTTAAAATTATTAAATTTTTAATAAGAGAGACTAAAATCACAAAATTATGATATTTGAGGAATTAAAATTGTTTAATTAAAAATTGAAGAATCAAAATCGTACAATTATAATTAGACTAAAATTATCCAATTAAAATATTAAGATTAAAATTGTACAATTACAATACTTGAGATCAAAAACATAATTAAACCTATAAATTTAAGATTCAAATAATAATTGTTAAACTAAAATATTTTAATTATATATAAATCTAAATAAAAGATAATAAAGTAAAATACTTAATTATTACAAATTTAAACAAAGTATAAAATAAAATTAAATTTATACAAACTCAAATAAAATCAAATTCAGTCAATCATTATATGAGAATTGACCCCAACTCAACTTATTCAACACACGTGTGAACATCTGATTTATTGATGACAAAAAAAAAATCCAAACCCTTTCAAACAAACTGGCTTCCTAATAAACAAAAACAATACCACGTGAATTAAATGCCTCCCAAATTTCATCCATAGATAATATTACAGTAGAATCATGACGTTCCTTCGGTTCAACTATAAGTTCAACCCCATCCTTCATTTCCAAGTTTTGTAGCATGTGAGCCATTGCTTCCGAGGGTTGCTTTACTTGCACTTTTCTCAAGGCAATCAAAGACCACAGTTCATTTGGAATGCCATCTAACATTTCACATTTGTGGATGATCAGACTTTGGAGGCATAACATTGCACTGTTGCCTAATTTCCAGTTTCTAACTTTCAAACCACTCATCTCAAACACCTGCAGTTGTGGGAACCTTCCTGCAACACAATTGAGGTCAAAGGAATCTGACCAAAATCCTCCGGTTAGTCTCAATTTTTGGAGTTTGGTGTGATTTCCCAAAGAATCCATTCCCTCATCAGTCACACAACTAATACCTGTCAATGTTAACTTTATAACATTTGGAGGAAACGTGACCCTACATGTTAGAAGGTCCAAGGCATTGCGAATATTCAGCGTAGTTACATGACTCAACTGCCCTATGCTTTGTAATACTTCTTGTGGCTTACAACCAATGTGCCACTCCATGCTGTTCACATAGTTTCGGGACACTGAACCTTCAAACAACTTCATTTCAAAGGAAATCCTTAACTTACTCAAATGACTTAATTGTAGTAGGCTCTGCAACAACTTAGGCCATTTAGCCTTGCGACCCGAAGATATTTTCAGACCTAAATTCTTAAGGTTGGGGAAAGTTCCTTTATATATCAAATATGATGCTTGTTCGTCCAACACAATGGCGTTCATGGTTTGAAGATTCCACATAACCTCACTTGGTTTTGAATAGTGGCCTCTAAGCTTGATAGGCCCTGGAGCATACAAATGCCTTAAATGTTTGAGCTTCCATATTTGAGCAGGGAAAGAAATTGGAATAGTCAAACGCCAGCAACCTAGGTCTACGGTTTGTAAATTCTGAAGGGTAAGTATAGAAGCTGGAATAATTCTAACATGTTGCGAGTCAATTCTCAAATACCTTAAGTGGATAAAGTCCCCCAAATTAGATGGAATCTTTCCTCCACAACTGTCTGTTCCAAGCTCTAACACTCGAACCAATTTGAAGCCTTTGAAAAGTCTTTTCAACTCGCTTGGAATAAAAAAATAACGTGGCCCAAACATGAACAAAGAACGGATACATGACTGGTCATTGTTGTTTGAAGAAATGTAGTCACCCATATTACAATGAATGGACAGTCTGCGGGGTTTTGTGGAGATTAGAATGTTATTACCTGTGCAAACTTGGAAAACCTTGTCTTCTTTGCTCTCTGATATGCAAAGATCTCGAAGAAGATCATGGATGTGACAAGTCTTCACGCCTCCACTTGTCTTCATTGCTGCTACTTGGACCAAACTACGATCAATGAGCTCGTACAAGTAGTCTTCAGCAACATCATCTGGGTCTCTATTCCCTGTTTCTTGTATAAATCCTTCGGCAACCCATCGTTGCAATAATGGCCTAACTGGGATTTCAAAGTCTTCGGGGAATATCCCAAGAAACAGAAAGCACGGTTTCAATCTCCTTGGCAGGTTGTCATAGCTGAGTTTGAGAACTATATCCTTCACTTGGGTCTCATCTTGAGTAAGATACCAGTTGACATGACCCACCACTTTAGACCATTCTCTATATGATTTTTCCTTGTTGGCTAGCAACCCTGCTAACACCACGATTGAGAGTGGCAAACCACGACAACTTTGAACTATCTGTTTCCCCAAAGGCTCCAAATCAGAAGAGTACTCTTCGCCCCTAAACACTTTCTTGCAGAAGAGCTCCCAACTTTCATCTTCACTAAGAAACTGAAGATAGTAAGGAGGATGATGGCTAGTATGCAACGCCACCTCTTTCAAACGACTAGTAATCAATATCCTGCTGCCTTTGTTGTCGTCAGGAAAAGCATCGTGCAACTCGTCCCAATCTTGTGTTTTCCACAGGTCATCGAGGACCACCAGATACCTTTTCCTCTCCAAGCATTCTCTCACCAGTTTTTTCAACTCCTCCTCGCTCAACTTAGAAATGTTAAATTCTCTTGTGCGTTTCTTACCTTTCGTGTTGCCTCTACGTTGGTATTCAAGGTTTGGCATCAAATGCTTAAGAAGGCCAAGGAAAATCTCCTTGACTCTACACTCGTCCGACACATAAACCCACGCGCAACATCTAAAGTATTGTTTCACCTCTCTGCTGTTATAGACCTTTCGGGCAAGGGTGGTCTTGCCCAATCCACCCATGCCAATGATGGAGACAACGTTACGAGATGAACCACCTTCTAGGAGTCGCCTGATGACTACGTTGGAGTCACGTACAAAGCCTACTACATCTTCTTCCTCCACATTTCTTCTTAGCTTGTGTAGTAATTGCGCCCTTTCCTTCTCCTTCTCCTCCTCCTCTGCTTTCGTTGTGGATTGACTGTTGCTTTCTTGGAATTCTTCATATTTGATCTTGTTGTTGCGTATCTCACTGATAGTGTTTTTTATCTGGTCTATTTTCTCAGCTACGTCATGGAGCAACCTTGCTTGGTGAACGCTATGGAGGAGCCTACCCATCATGGTTCTCCTCTCGTGTATGGCAACTTTGGCAACGTATGTGTCGATGACATCCTCAGCTAGATGGGCAACATCTCTGATTTGGCTCACCACTTTTTTCTCAATCCCCTTTTTGCTCTTTGAGGTATTGAGGAACTCATTGATCATTTCAAGCTCATTTTGGAGGGACTTGATCCTGTCTTCCACGCCACACAGCAACTTTGCTTCACGTGCCATCAGTTGAGACAAGTGATCTAATACAAAGGAAACCACACTGTCCGCCATTACAACAGTGATGTGCGTGTAGATTGATCTGTGAATAGGAACTAACGTTTGGGGATGGTGATGGTAAGAGATGTAGAGGGATTTAGTAAAGGCACTAGAGAGAATCTAGGAAAGGAAGGTATATGATATGATCTCCTCCCTTGTTGGATTAGAGTTTGCAGGCACATACCAAGGAATCTAAATATTTAGTGTGGAAAGTACTAATAATAAAAATTTTACATAGACTTGGGGACAAGAGTTCTGTTTTTTTCTTCATTGACTCTGCGTCAACCATGAACAAAGTTCAACAGCACCTTCCCGTTAGGTGCATGATTGCACCTTCCACTCATTTGCCTTGTAACACTTGTTATAGTTCTTTCACCCTTTTTGAGTTGCTTATACAGGAAAACCCATCACAGCGATCAATTTAAGCACTTTCCTACACTTTTTCTTTTGACTTTTTTGAAGACTCCTAATTTCCTTAATTAAAAAATATTCTGGTTTCCTAGGAATTTCTCACACACCCTTGATGGGAACTAGTCCCTTGATGTTTAGAAGGATTTATATTTCTGCAACCGCAAATACTCACCGTAGTTGTCTCTTCCTCTGACACAAACAACGACATGATAAATAATTTGCTCAACATTACTCAACTCAACAGCCAAGAGATGAACAAGCCATAATGGAAAATTTAGCTCTGGTATTCTCCTTTTCCTTTTCTAGTTTTATTAGACTGTTAAAACCACTGATGATATGGTATATGTATTGTTCATGCAAGGGAGAGTGTAAGAGATGTAATGTATATAATTGTATAATATAATGTTAGTATTGAACAAATAATTTAATAAGAATTTGAATTTTTTTAACAATGAAAATAAAATAAAGTAATAAATTATGATGAATTTGAATTTATAAGAAGAATAGTCAAATATTGATTTATTAATTTTTTTATATATAATTTCTTAGTATTTTTATTCAATGTAGTAATTATTTAAGTGTTCTAGGTTGTTTAAAGAAAATCTTTATTCTTTAATAACTTTTGTTAAAAAATAAGATTAAGGACCATAAGTTGATTGATAAAATTTATCTCAATTCTTTGGTAATAAATGTTATCATTGCTTTATTTAGGTGGTAATTTCGAAAGAATTTCTCAACTTTGATTAAAAATTATAAAATCATGAAGATGTTGATCAGGACATAACAAATATTAAGTACAAAAGTAAAAAAATTAACTAAATAAATATTTCATTAAAGGAAAAAACATAGATAAGTTTACATAATTCAAGTGGTTACCTCAATTTCTAACAATAAAGCTTAATTCCTCGTAATTAAGGATTACACAACAATAAAGGGACCCTTGAATGATTCGTGATTACAATAGTAGTCTTATAGAAATTATCTCTAATCACTCTATAATTATGCTAAGAAGAATATTGATGATTGGAATGGGATATAAAGACATCCTAGAGACCTTATTTTATAACAATTATAATGGGCTTTTAGATTCAATACATTTACTTAGAACATCCATATAACTGAGTGAGCATGTTTCTAAGGGTGCTCTTTAACTTCACTCGCTCATAACACTTTTATGGTGATTCTTAGGAAGACGTTGATCATCTGAAGCTCCTTCTCGAGGTCCAAAGGTGGAACAGGGTTGGATAGTAGCTCTCTATTACTAGGGATGGCAATGGGGTGGGGCGGGTACGGGTTTCATGATACCCGTCCCCGTCCCCGCAAGCTAAATTCATCCCCATCCCTGTACCTGTACCCATCGGGTATGTGCTTTTCATCCCCATCCTCGTCCCCGTCGGGTATTGGGTATACCCAAGACATTCCTAACACCTTTTCCTTGTGCGGGGAATTACTGTTGTTGCTTTTGCTATGAGGAGCATGTCTTGATACAGCTTGCTTCCATATAAGATTAACATATTCCGGATGATCGACAAAAGGATTACGATTATGCTGATAAAATTTGCATATCCTTTCATTTCTCAGTTTTTCTTCCCTCGAAGGCGGATCAACTTCATTCCATTTTAATAAAGTGGAAAGAAGTCCCATCTCCCTGTTTTCTGCAGTAAAAATATAGTATTATTTTCATTAAGGTGACATCAGCTTCAACTGAAACAAAAGTAATAAAAGCTGGAGTGCATTAATTAGGTTGCAAAATCATGAGAATCAATTCAGAAGTTATTTTCTACAACTCTACTTAATACTCCTGCCGTATGATGGCATTAGTAAATCAAAACCAATGAAAAAAGTTTTATGCAGTTGCAGTGTTCAAAAGAATAACAAACTAAACATCAGAGCAATCCTTAGTCTTAAGCTCATTTCATGTCCACTTTTACATTGCAGAGTAATACAATATTCAAAATTAAACCTTTAAAAGTGTTAATAATATACCATAAAAATATTGTCATGAAGAATCAATTATTTAAAGTGTTAATAATATACCATAAAAATATTGTCATGAAGAATCAATTATTTAGATGCAGAGTAATGCAATAATCAAAATTAAACCTTTAAATGAAAAGTGTTTTAAAATGTACCATAAAACAATTGTCATGAAGAATCAATTATTTAGATGCCAGGCTTAAAAGATTCGTGCATCTATGAGACTACGACTAAACATGTGCGTTATATGATAAAATTACTGTTAGAAGAAATATATAACATCAAGTTATAAAATTAATCGTTCCATAAAAGCAAGATAATTTGATCAACACGTGTAAGGCGTGTATATTCCCCCTTGGGGTTTGCGTTCAAAATCCAAATAGGAGTGTTGAATGAGAACATCAATAATTCAAGTGTTAAACCTACCAACGTTTGGGGCATCCGAGAGGCGAAGGCCTGGACTTCCCCCTGGTTGTTGGAACCCATAACAGACTGCCATGTACATTAATGCCCTTGCTATATCGCCTCTAACCTGAGGTTAGTTTAAGTTCAACAAATATATATGGAGGTAACATCTCAAACAACGATTGAACAAAAACTAAATTAATTGTCCATGAGAAGAAACATCAGAGCTAATTATAAATAGATGGAGTACAGTACTGAGACTTTCAGTTTCACCATCTATCCTGATTCCTTTAACAGCTGTTACTGGTTTGTAGTGTACAAGTTACTAGTGAAAATCAGCTAAAACCCTAAATTAAAACAATTTGAATACAAACTTAAGGTCATAAGCTTAGTCCAGATTCTAGAGTAAAATGCTCCACCCCAGTCCAATACACCTTTAACCAAAATAACCCTCAGGTGACATAATTATAACAGCTATTTGAAATTATCATGAGTTATTTTATGAATTTGAAGTTTAGGACAGGTGTAATGTAATTAGTCAAGATTGTGGTTATGACTTATGAGTATGAGTATGGTTATGTGTCCAAATTTTAGGATTTAGCCATTAAGAACCTTCCACTAATTAGCCTTAGATCATTTATAATGATACAACCGGTGATGGTTTCTTTTACCGTTAGATAGAATGAAAAAACATACGCTAGGAATAGCGAAAAACGTACCTATGGCAAAAAACATCGTACTCAATTTCCCACGCTTTTTTTGCTTTTGCGTTTTTGAACTTTTCTAATTTCCATGATTAAAAATTATTCTGGTTTCTTAGGAAATTCTCACACACCCTTGACGGGAAATTAATGCCTTAGATTTCAATCCCAGTTCCCAAGTGACACCTTTCAAATCTTTACCCCTCCCTCTAAAATGAAGCTTGTTTATGATTGCCCAGGATGAAATAGTTTTCGTAATTTTCATCCCTATCCCAATGTTTTAATACATGTTATCCCTATAATGCAAAAGTAAATAAATGAGATTCAAGGTTTCACCCAAACTAACGATTAGAGAATCCCTATAATTACTAATTCAAGGTTCTAATTAAGCTGGATGAAATGAAACACAGAAAAAACAAAGGTACTGAAAACATGTCTCTCAACGTTTGGCTAGAAAAAATGTTGTAATATGTACTTCATATTCTAGAAATAAATCGGTCTAAAAAAAAGAAAATAAATGGAAAGAATTAGACCTCACAATTTTGTCAAAGTACAGTTTTGAGATAATTTCAGACTTTTATTTGGGTACACGAAGGACTCCTAATTCTAGTACCAAATCCCCAAAATTCCCAGTTCAGTTATGCAATTCTACAATATGCAGTGTTGTCTCATTCAGAATGGTTGCTATATGCGATGCTATCTCATCCATTAGAGATCCACGAGGTATTCCATGCTCAGACCTTTACGTGTATTTGGATAGAAAATTTAAATAAAATAATTTATTTATTTAAAAAAATTTAAATTCTTTGAAGTAAAATATTTTGTTTGAATGAAAAATTTAAAATTCAACCATTTATGAAAATTTTTAAAAGAGTATAATTTTAAATTATCTCAAAAAAGTAAGAATTTAAAAAATTTTATATTTTTTTCTTATTTAACTTATATATTTTATTTTATTTTTTATCTCTTCATGTTTTTAATTATTGAATATTTAAAAATATTTTTAAAATTATTAAATATTATCTAAT